TTTCAGAAGCTTGGCATCTCACACCATGTGTCTTGTTCTCAAACACATCAGCAGAACGGTGCAGCTGAGCGCAAGCACCGTCACATAGTTGAAACTGGTCTAACCCTTCTTGCACATGCCTCTGTTCCTTTTAGGTTTTGGAGCGATGCTTTTGTCACTGCTTGTTTTTTGATAAACAGGACTCCCACACGACTTCTTCGTATGAAGTCTCCTCTTGAGGTCTTGCTTCATGAAACTCCAGATTACTCCTTCCTCAAAGTGTTTGGTTGTGCGTGTTGGCCACATCTTCGTCCGTACAACAAGCATAAACTTGAGTATCGATCAAAAAAATGTGTGTTCCTTGGGTACAGTCCTCTCCACAAAGGTTACAAGTGTCTCCACATTTCAACGAATCGTGTTTACATTTCCCGTGATGTTGTGTTCGATGAGACTGTCTTTCCTTTTTCCACGCTCACATCTTCCACTGATACTCCCGTCACCGAGTTGCACTCTTTTCTAGTTTTGCCTGATCAGTTTGTGGATGCTGCATATTCTCCTCTGTTGTTGCCTAACCATGGTGCAGGGACTGGGCGAGGTGCACGACTTGAGCTTCTTGAGGATGATAATGAGGCCTCACCTGCGCCAGCCGCCGCTACGCCGGTTGCGCCTGCTGCTACACCGGCTGCGCCTGCTGCTACGCCGGCTGCTCACGATGACAATCGCGCGTGCATGGGACATGCACGTGGATCCGACGAGGCACCCACGTCGCCTGGGTCCGTGGCCTCGTTGTCGCCTACGCCGGCCGCGGCGCTGTCGCCTGGGTCGCCTGGGCCGGCTGACCCGGCAGCGTTGCTCCTTGTGCTGGCTGCTCCCGCGACACAGTCGCCTGAGCGGACGGCTTCGCCGATCGTTGCTTCGAGCGGCTCGTCTTCACCAACCACTCCAGGCACGTCTTCTTCGTCGCTGATGGACAGTGGCTCCTCTGTGGTGGCTGCTCCACCGCCACCGCCGCCTGTCATCCTGCGTCCTGATACTCGCAGCAAGAGTGGCATCTTCCAACCGAAGAAGCGCACTGACGGCACTGTTGCATGGCTTGCGGCCTGTATGGCGCATACTGAGGCCGACCCTACGACTGAACCACGACATTTTCAGGCAGCACTTGGCATTCCACACTGGCGTGCTGCGATGGAGCAGGAGATTCATGCTCTTCAATGAAACAACACTTGGCGCCTGGTTCCACCTTCATCTGGTGTCAATGTCATTGACTCTAAATGGGTATTCAAGGTGAAGAAACATGCTGATGGTTCCATTGAGAGATACAAGGCACGTCTGGTTGCCAAGGGATTCAAGCAACGGTATGGTATTGATTATGCAGACACATTCAGTCCTGTTATTAAACCAACCACTATTCGTGTTCTTCTCTCCTTGGCTGTTACTCGAGGATGGTCGCTTCGACAACTTGACGTTCAGAATGCTTTTCTCCATGGAGTTCTGGAAGAAGAGGTTTATATGCGTCAGCCCCCCGGTTTTGTTGATCCTGCTCAGCCACATCATTTATGTCGTCTTGTCAAAGCTCTTTATGGTCTGAAGCAGGCCCCTCGTGCATGGCATGCACGTCTTGGCGCTGCTCTTCGTGCTCATGGGTTTGTGCCTTCTGCAGCGGACACGTTTTTGTTTATCCTTCAGCAACCGGAGATGACTATGTACATTCTGGTCTATGTTGATGACATCATCGTTGTTAGCTCGTCTGCTGCTGCTACGGATCGGCTGGTGTCCTCTCTTGGTGCTGAGTTTGCTGTTAAGGATCTTGGGAGACTGCATTATTTTCTGGGTCTCGAGGTTCTTCATTCTGATGGTGGCTTGACTCTTACTCAGAAGAAGTACTCCCAGGATCTCCTCCGTCGTGCAGGTATGTTGCAGTGCAAGCCTGCTACGACTCCCATGTCTGTCACAGACAAACTAACTGCTCTTGCTGGTGACTTGCTTTCTCCTGAGGATGCCACTGAGTATCGCAGCATTGTTGGTGGACTGCAATACTTGCTCATCACTCGACCAGACATATCGTTTGCAGTGAACCGTGTGTGCCAGTATCTTCATGCGCCGCGTGATTCTCACCGGTCCGCTGTTAAGCGCATCTTGCACTATGTTCGTCACACTGGTTCATATGGTCTTCATCTTCAGTCGGCGCCTTCTGGACTAATCTCCGCATTTTTTGATGCCGACTGGGCTGGTAGTCCTGATGACAGGCGATCCACGGGGGGACATGCTGTATTCTTTGGACCTAACTTGATCGCCTGGCAAGCTCGCAAGCAAGCTACGGTGTTCCGGAGTAGTACTGAAGCTGAGTACAAAGCGGTTGCTAATGCCACAACTGAGATCATGTGGGTGCAGTCGTTGCTTCGGGAGTTGAAGGTCTCTCCAACTCAGCCGCCTGTCCTTTGGTGTGATAACATCGGTGCTACATACCTTTCATCCAATCCAGTATTTCATGCCCGAACGAAGCACATCGAAGTTGACTATCACTTTGTGAGGGAACGTGTTGCTCAGAAGCTTCTTCAGATCAAGTTTGTTTCTTCTAAGGATCAACTTGCTGATATTTTCACTAAGCCCTTGCCCTTGCCTTCTTTTGAGGGATGTCGACGCAATCTTAACCTTCTGAGTGTTTCAGGACATAGTTAAGATTGAGGGAGGGTGTTAGACTAAGTATATAGTAGATATACGTGTTGTAACATAACCTGTATTTGTACGGTTCCCTCTTATAAATATATGACAGCCGTGTCCACCAAGGGCATCGAGTATTGTTCCAAACCCTAGTTTGTCTAACAAATAGTAATACTCTCAACGGCAGGTAGATATCCATCTTCTTGGAGACAATCAATGGTTGCCAGTTCTTCGCAGTCTCTGATGGTTAGGGAAGTAAGGTTGGTGAAGATCTGTCCAGATTGTGCAATAGATGTAAGAGATCGACAATATGAAATGCACAACTCCTGTAGAGCTGGAAAATTCCACATTTGTAGTTGGATAGATGTGGAACCACTCGATGAGAAGAAAAAGTGGGTGAGAGAGCAGCATTGGATATCGTCTGTGAAATTCTCAAAACTCTGATCTGTCAGTGTACCATTGCGTACCACAAGCTTCTTGAGAGAGGGCGCAATCAAACTTTGGGAGTTTATATTTCCACAGTGTTCAACCCTGAATATTTCAAGGCAATGAAACTCCCCAAATCTTTCGGTTGGTACTGATATTAATTTCTGGCAATTCATTATTGCAAGTTTCTTCATGACTGGTAGATAAGTTGGATGTAGAAGTTGTTCGAGACTTGATAAACGGTGACACCCATCAATAATTACATCTGTCAGGGACGAGAAACAGGTGCCGCCATTAAGTATCTCGAGTCCACCACAATGAAGAAATGAAACAGATGTTATGCTTGGCAAGCTTTGTGGCTCAAACCAACAAGGACTAGAGACTTGACACCAGCAGGAGGTTTTAAATCTGGGAGGACTTCTATCTCGTTTTCCTCACTGACAGAAGTGTCGATGAATTTATTATCCCCATATCTATCCAAGTAAGACCATTGCAACGTCAGCTTGTCAAGACATTCCTTATTTTTGAGTTCGGCTTCTGCTGGATGATCATTTCTTAGCTTGTCAACATTATTTATCTCCAAATGTCCGCGAAGGTGCTTCATATTCTTTATGAATCTACACCCTAGTCCCTGCTCATCTTTGGCTGCATCAAGATTTACTCCATAATAAGATTCTTCTTTTCGAGATCTAATATTTGGACCATATTTAAATCCCTGCGATTCAAATCTCCAAAGGTTGACCAACATACTGAAGTCACTAGGCAAGCTTTCTAGCTTGCATTTCTTAACACATATGACCTGTATATTGTGGAGCCTACAAATCGTTGCTGGAAGAGTGGTGATAGAACACGTTCTGGATACCTCAATGTACCGAAGATGCTTCAATTTGGCAATGCTAGCTGGTAACTCATTAATGGAGGCACAAACAATCACGCGCATACGCGTAAGTTCACTGCACCAAGCATCCATCAAACTAGCTGGAATTTTTTTATTTGCTAAAGATTTGTTGCAGAGAATGGTACGTAGCTTTTTGCACTTGCGAAGGCTCAATAAGTGGAAATTGCTGATGTCTGTGCTAGATAGTACTGACAAATGGCGAACATTATGAGGAATTCTTTCGATGTCATCCTTGTTTTTCACGATGAAACAGTCATCCTCTGAAACTTTTTGTGCCATATCATGCAACAAGTCATGGATTAAGTATTTTCCTTGAACTTCTTGAAAGAAGGATCGACTTAATAGGTCATTAAAGTATTGAGAGCCAATTTCTTGAACTGGAATAACACCTTGACGTTTCACAAAGCCTTCTGCTACCCAAATTTCAGCTAAATGGCCCTTTTCAAACTCCTTATCTTTGGGGTACACAGCACAGAATGAAAAGCATCTCTTCAAGTGGAATGGTAAATACATGTAGCTCAACCGAAGGGCTGGCAAAATTTCGGTCATCTCTTGGTCCAACTCCCACAGTTCACTCTTTAGTATATTATTCCAATGTGATGTATGAAGGTCATGTCGTAACATGCGTCCAAGAGTTTTAGCGGCTAAAGGGGAGCCCTTCAACTTAGGAAGTATCTCTCTACCAATGTGCTCTAACTCTGGAAAATTGTCAGAACTCTCAGACCCAAACACGCATAGTTTGAAGAAATTCCAAAAGACATCGTCCTTTAAGCCTTCTAGTATAATGGGCCCCATAGTGTGCACTAAATCAACAACCTTTGGAGATCTTGTGGTGACTAACATCATACTTCCACGTACCACATTTTTCAGAGGTCCACAAAATCTCTTCCAGCACTGGCCGTTTTCCTTGAGAGCATCATCCCACAAATCATCGAGGACAATCAAGAACTTTCTATTTTCTAGTGTGTTAGAAAGAGCATGCTGGAGAGAATTCAGATTTTTAGTCGTTGCCTCTTTACCAAAAAATGATTCTATAGCCTCTTTAGTCAGCCTCTTCTCATCGAAATCATCTGAGACACAAATCCAAATTATTGTGTCAAAGTGAGACTTTACCTTTGGATGACTACAAATATGCTGGGCCAAAGTGGTCTTTCCAACACCCCCAATTCCAACTATTGGCAAAACTGGAAGCTCTGGTAATCTTGGTTCATGTACACTAGTTTCCCTCTTGCGTTTTGAATGAGTGCTACTATGTGTAGGCATGAGCAGTCCCAAGATCTGCTCTAGCACCATGTCACGACCAAATATTTTTGTTTCACTGCGAAAAGAGCTAGTTTCTGGCCTGACTGTTTTCTCAAAACGCGGTGTCACTTCACCCAACCCCTTCTTCTCTAGGTGATTGGAAATAAGATCCAACCGTTTTTGGATATCATTCACACTGGTAAAGCTATTAAAGAAGTCCGTAAAAGATGACTGCCTTGCATTTCCCTCCACTATCACCTTATGGTTGTACCATCTGAGCTCATCAAGAAGATCTTCAACATTGTAAACTGTGTCCTTGAGTTTTGGAAGGAGCTCGGTCACACCATCTTTGTGGCTTCTCCATTCCGCTCGATTAATGAGGTCATACATCTCTGGAAGAGTATCACTGAGGTGCTGCAAGCCACTCTGCAGCTGAAATAGTTTTTTTGAAGCTCTTGCTCCTGAGTGCCTCTCCATTTGGATGAAATAGCAGATTTAGCCCACTGAAAAAGATTGGCATACTCATTGATACCAGTAGTGACCCCAGTAGTATCAATTATATCCATGGTGAAATGAGAATCAATAGTTCCTTTCTCCCTGCTGACAACCCAAGCAAACAATGAGCAAACTTATTTTCATGATCAAATAATGCTAATAAAGGTATAAGTAGGATAAATTAGATGTGATGCAAACAACCTGACTAGGTCCTCCGTGATGTCTAAAATGACAAAGAACAAACCTGAGATTTCGGTTTTGCGAGAAATAGCCATCGTCGTTCCAGGTCACATCTCCAGGCCTTCGAGTAGCATGACACTCCTGGTTCCTAAAACAATGAAATGGTAATCCTAGCGTAAGTAGAAAGCACATCTTCCTGGAAAGGAAAAAGGGGTATAATATAAAACCTCATGGTGGACTCGTGTTCATGATCCGTGGGGTTGGCAAGGGACTCAAACCGACTGCTGCTATCATGGACCCCGATCGAAGCTGAGGAGGCCGTAAAATATATCAGTACGTTTTGGATAAAGGGAAATAACATTGGTCTATGATATTATAAGATGCTGACTTTAATCATCTAAAACAGCCACTCCTGCTCTATGCAGCAAAAGGTACATTAAACCAGGATGAACATTACGAAGTACTTGCCTTTAAGGCATTTCAATTATTTTGAACAGTCAAAATAACAACCAGAGAATGCAGTTTTTATATGTAGTTTGCATTGTACAAAATATATGAACATATCTATCAAGCGTTGCATGGTTTGCATGGTCCGGTGTCCGCCGGAATTTAGAGCATACCGTTGGATGGACGCCATCCCACCGGATGTCTGCGGGCACATCTGAAATTGTCCACAAACAGTTAAGGGAAACTCCAACGTGAATCACCAAAACTACCCTAAATATGGACAGTCCGGACATTTTTTGCCATCCAACACTAGTCACCAAATTTGTCTTCACCATCCGTCCGACATCCCACAAAATGGGACCAAAGATAGGGGATGTTTGGGGTAGTCTGTACGTCCTCCACATATGCATCTGACAACGCGGACCCACCCAAAAACCCTCCCTTCGCTCAGACTAGGATCGTCTGCTCCGCTCTTCGCTCTGCATTCATGCCGGTTAGATAACATGGCCGGACACTGGTTGCCACGTACCACATTGATGCCGACTGGCCGAGCCACACACTTGGCCCGGCTCAAAGGAGGGCGGCGCGGGCAGAGTCCACGACCGTGGCCTATAGTCGTGGCCAGGCCGAGGTGGCCAAGGCTCTGCGCTAGATGGAGAAGGACCAGCGACTGCACCGCGGGCGTGGAGCGGTGGCCGATGAGGTCGCAATGCCTAGCGGCGTTTCTTCCACTGGAAGGACGACGACGATGATGGCTCGGACGGCAGCGGCCATAAAAAACGTGACACAGACGACGACGGAGGTGCCGACAGCCACGGAGGCCATGCCGATGAGGTCACCGTCAGGAAACCTCCATAATTAAGATTCGTTTTTTTAAATTCCATTCAGTTTAGTTAAAATAATCCTTTTGGTTGTAATATACCAAAATGTAACGACGATAGCGAGTGGTATCCCTCAAGATGAGTACCATCACTAGGGCGCAACTGGAGATGGATATCGTCCGTTTTAGCATGATTTTTCTTTTCATTTTAGAAATACCCGTTTTAAATGGGGAGGACATTTGGTGAATGCAGTTAGATAACGTCTGCATTGTTCGCGTCCGCAGATACATTCAATTTCAAACGTATTCACAGACATTTGGTGATGTCTCTTTCGATGATAGGGTGTCTGTTTGAAGGCGCGGGTTTAGAGATGCCCTAAGTGCCGAGCCTGTCTAAGCATTCACCCCTACCTCGAGATATGCCGGATTTAGCACCGACAGCGAGCGAAACTTAACTTCACCGCTAACGCGGCGGCCATGGTTGATCTCACCCCTCCCGTCATTCGAATTGTTACTCACAATGATGAGAAAGAGCATCGAAAGTCCAAGGTGCAACTCATGGCCGAGCTCGCTGATGCCGACTTTCTGTCCAAGCTTGTCAAGGAGAATCTGCAAATCTTCACCGAGAACCAAGCGTTCATCTAGTCCGTGGAGGACGAGCCACCATCGACCGCGAGCGTGCCCAGCTCTCCTGCCTCCAAGTTGAGAATCAGGATATGTTCGACAATCTTGCCGACGAGGACGAGATGTCGTGGAACTGGCCCACCGCAAATGACAATTGGGCCGGCCCCTCTGGCAGGTGTGATCCCCGTCTCCTCCTCCAATTTAGATTTCTTGAACAACGTCAAGGGCGATGACAAGTAGAACTATATGGTTTGTAGTTTTATATGGTTTATATCAATGTTTAACCTGGTTTGATGTGGATCTAGTTTTAATGTAGTAGGCAACAGTCTGTTTAATCATGCTATGTATGAACTAGTTTAAATATGTGTTTGAAATGAGTTTAATCCCCTAAAGGATAATTTTATTTAGGAT